ATCAAGGTTTTAATGATTATGGCAAAAATATTAAATATTCAAATTCTGCAGTTATTCTGAGACTTTTATACTACTTATTTTTCCTCTTTCACCTCAGGGTCATCACTATGAGATTTATCTCTTGCTTCCAACAATTTTCATATGTCTTTGTTAAATTCTATTTTTTAAAACTAAATGCTACTATTCCTTTTTGGAATCATATAACTTTATAAAACTGAATGAGTCTTAACAGATTGAATTAAAACTTTTCTTCCAACAATCTGTGTATGTTGAGTTCTAAGGAATTGTATCTTTTTTCTGACTTACACTTATTATTAAAGATAGGAATGCTTGTAGTATATTGAATACCAACATACATAATGTCCATTGCACATAGTAGGAACTTATAAATCCTATCAAATAATTGTATGGCCTTTTATTCTGTTTGCAGGAACAATTTAATCTTAGCACAATATAAAAAATTAATACAAATTCTTCTTTGAAAGTCTCCATAGGAAGTCTGCAGCCTTCTTCATAGTAGGAGGAAGTGCCTCCATTTATAATTCAGGATCTACCATTGCTGCCTCTTTCTTTAGCTGGGTCAGTGTTAAAAAGTCTTTTTCTGACAAGCCAAAGGCTGCTACCCAACATCTCTTTGTAGGGTCTAGTTCTCTTGTAAACCAGGAGTCTCCATGGACTGCGTACTTTTATTTATCTCCTTTTCCTCATGAGAGTAAAGGAATGAAAAATGCAAAGACCAACAACCCACAGAGTCAAAGGGGGGGCCAGCATAGAACAGACATTTCAGTATTTCTGGCAGCTTGAAAGCTAATGAGGACTTGGTGACTGTAAAATTATTGGTGGGGGTGGGGGGCGGTTGCCACCCAGTCGGATTTGGGGGCTGCAGCTTAGGGGGCACTTTGGGATCTCTTGAAGCTTGTGACTTTGAATAGCAGGAAGTTGGGAGGCCCAGTCCCAGGTGGGCTGAAAATCACCCGGTTTCATGGGATGCCTATAGTCAGCAGGTTGAGAACCTCTCCTGGAGAGAAGAGCAACAAAGAAAAATCCATTGGGTCTAAACTCCAGAAGATGGATGGACTGCAGCCCCTTCCCTGTTGCCTGAAGTGTGTTCCAGTGAAAGTGGCCTTGCTCTTCATTGTCACTCTCCTCCCTGTCTTCAGAATAAGTACAAAGGCACGTTTGTGGTGGGCTTCTCTGTTCAACTAGGGCATGGCTTTGAGGAGCCCGGGCTGATGTGGGTCCACCTGACCCCCCACAGGTCTCATGTTCATGGTCTGCTTGAATGGGCATCGTACCCATGGGACAGTCTCTGTAGAAGAGGACATCACTGAGAGGTGACACACCACTGGACTCTTTGTTGACATTAGCTTAATGGGATGAAGTCCAACCTTAGTGATGTTTTTTCAGGTTCTGAAAAATGATAGTAACCTTAAGGCTGTATATATAGCTTTCCAATCCCAATGAAGTTGTTGTGTAATTTGGAGCCATCTCCAAATGTCCTCACAAAAAGTATATGTATGTGTTTGTGTTTTCTTTTTCTGAACTTCAAGGTCATGATTGTTTCCTTCATGTGTTGTGAGTTCCTGCTCAAAATGGAGTATTTGTGAAATAAACTAGAGTTTTATTTCTGTAACTGAATAGAACTTTGTTAGTTTTCATTTTAGGGTAATATTTATTTTAGTAGATTCGTTGTACGTTTGAAAATTGAGCTCTGAGAACTAAAATTGACTGAAGCAGGTTTTCTTTCAACATTAGCAAAATTTCTGAGGATTGTTTCATCTCTATTTTTTAACCTAAAATGGTCCATGTATTTTTATAGCTTTATAGATACATTTTCCGTGGAGAGCAATTTATCTAGATATTCTGTGGCACATAAAAGATTGCTTCAGAGTCTTATACTGAAACATATTAAGGGGAAGTTATGGGACCTCTGGAACTTAGGGCTTGAAAGATGTAAATTTCAGACCATCTCCAGTGCTGTCTTGCTGGGACTCTCACAATTTAAATTTTGGCATTGCACCGTGTCTTTGCTGCTTGCATATTAAGAAATTTTTAACTTAAATGTTAACTTGGATTGTGTGCACATGGGAACAACTCTTGAGAGGCGAGTTGATCTTCTCATACAGTATGTAGATGTAAATTCTGACTGCGTAGGACCAGTTATTGCTTGACCTGTACTTTTCTAATGAGATGTGAAATGAATATTTATCTGGTACAATTGTACATTTTGCCCCAGTCTTGAAACTTTATGGGTAGACAGTTGTTTTCATGATATCTCCATCATACCTATGTTTTGTTGATTTAACTTTTTGCAAAAACTTTGGAGAGTCATCAATTCTAGAGGAAAGACTCCATGTAAGATTGGGGTCTAAATACTTGGAGGTTTTTGGCTGGCTCTGACCCTAGATTTTTCTGTGAACTTGGTTACAAGTTAGTTAAGAAGAGCCACCTCATAGCCTTGTTACCAGGGTCAGAATAGATAACGTCAATGAAAAGTCTTTGTAAAGCATAAAGTAGGTGAAAGTTTTAATTAATTCATCTTGTACATATTTGCTTTTAATGTTTTAATCTTAGTCATGCAAGAAGGCTGGTTTTAAAATGGGAATAACAAAGCCAGGCCTGGTGGCCCACGCCTGTAATCCCAGCAGCTCTGAGACAGGAGGATTGCGAGTTCAAAACCAGCTTCAGCAATGGTGAGGCGTTAAGCAACGCAGTGAGACCCTGTCTCTAAATAAAATACAAAATAGGGCTGGGGATGTGGTTCAGTGGTCGAGAGCCTATGAGTTCAATTCCTGCTAGCACCCGCCCCCCCCAAAAAACAACAACAACAACAACAAAACCCCCCACAAAACAAAAGGGAATAACATTGAAATACGATTACTACATTTGCTACTGATGGAAGAGAGTACAAAGCTGTGATGTTTTTTCCCCAAAAGTTATTTCCGTATAAGTATGTATATCTAAAATAAGGACAGTGGTATTTTATTTGGGAGAAACCCTACAGATAAAAAAGGATGAATGGACGCATTGCTCTTACAAGTGGAGGCTGGGCAGGAGCCTTACGTCACTGTTGTGTGATGTAAAGCTCTGTTTTCCATCCTTGTTTGTTGGAGTACCCTCTGTGTTGGTGCCTCTCTCAGACTCTGATCATCCTGGATGATGGGCAGATATTGATGGAGATGCATGTTAGTGCTGCCATTGTGCCTCATTCTGATGACAGTCCTGCCTCGGCTTGTGGAAGGTTTCCATTGGGAATTGTGGTAGTGAGTAATAAATACATGGTGGAAATACGTGATCATCTAATACATACTTACAATAAACCAAAATGAAATGTTTATTAATTGCTTAGTGTTAGCTGGGCATGGTTTTATTTTGTTTGTGTGTGTTTCTTCTTTAATACTCTTAGCAGCCTATAAGCACTATTTATTGATGAAAATAATGGAGTGAAATTACCCTAAGTTGTACATGCAGTGTTGGCAGAACCTGCCTTGCCCAGCTCTGCACCCCCACCCTCTGTAATAACTTTCTTTCTGTAGATTTGAGCTAGAAGAGGTTATATCAAGCCTTTGAAGGACCTAAGCTACGCATAAACCTCATTTTAGTAGGCTTTGTGTTGTTGTGGCCAAAAGATGCGACAAGATCAACCAAGGGAAGGAAAGTTCATTTTGGCTCACAGTTTCAGAGGTTCAGTCCATGCATAGCTGTAGGCCTGAGGTGAGCAGGACATCAAGGTGGAAGGGCATGGCGGAGGAAAGAAGCTGGCAACAAGGCAACCATCAGCTCACCTGGGACAGACTAAAAACTCCAAGGGCATAACCCCAGTACTTACTTCCTCCTGCCACACCGTACCTGCCTACAGTCCCCACCAGTTAATTCATATCAGTGGATTACTCCATCAATCAGGTCTCACCCTTGATAATCTAATCATCCCACCTGTGAATATTCTTGCACTGTTTCGTACATGAGCTTTTGGGGGATACCTCATACCTAACGTCCCTGGACCGTTACCAGAAGCTCAGTTGAATACTGGGTGGATCCTAGGCAGCTCACCTGTGGCTTGCTATCTTTCTCCCAGGAAGTTCAGCATCACGGTGTGAGTTAGTGGAATCCAAGGATCCATATTGCTCTGCTTTCTGCTGCCCATGAAGGCTGAGGGTCTCCCCAAACCTCTGGAGACCTGTACTGTGGAAGAGTCATCGGGAGGGTACATTTGGGTTCTAAGCACTTATAGGATGTCAACCTCCAGGGTCTGATAGTTTTTTTTTTTTTTTTTTAAAGGTGTCTCATATGCAGTCCTTCCTTGCTCACAGGCTGTCACCCTGTTTTGGATCCTGTAACTTTTATACTTAGATAACAGCAGCAGCCTCAGTTTCCCTGCTTTTAGAGTCTTCTGTTTCCTTTCAGACCTTTACAGTATTTCTAGAAATGTCCTGCTTCTCAGATGTCAGTGTCACTTCTCAGCTGTCAATTCCACTGGCTTCCCAGCCCTGCAGGCTTGGACTGTGCCGTGTTGGTCCAGTAACTGTATTTTCTTTCTCCATTTCTGTTTCTTTTCTATCCCTCTTGTTAGTATGCTGTTTCCTCTCAGTCCAAAGAACCCTTTTTATCCTACCCCATCAACCTTTTACATAATTCAGGGCCTGGCTTTATTTTACCATGGTAATTTTCTCTAATTTCTCCATTCCTTCTTGGCCTCTTTCCGCTTGGAATATTGTTGTCAGTTAAGATTTCTAAATAGCTTATAAGACTTCGGCACCTCAGGTTCTTTTATCCTTTAGATGACCAGTTGTGGGCAAGGTAGGTCACTACTTACTGATAGATCTGTGATTTCAACTGTAGTACTTTTTGCTTAAGCATAGTGCTTAAAATTAAGAAAAAGATATATCAAAATAACAAATATCAAAATAACACCAACATACAGAAAACTACAGTGATTTTAAGTTTACTTGATATTTTACTGATGTGTTCAAATGTTTTTTTATTCTCCCTTGTCTTGCCAGCAATCAAAGAGAAGTATGCAGACTGGACCGAATTCCTCATACATGATTTGACTGGTTCGCGGACAGCACCTGCCAACCTGCTGGAAGGTGTATGTATTGTTATTATACATCTCTTATATCTCTGAAGCATCCTGTCCCATGAGCTCAGACCAAATGGCACCTCTGCATATATCCTTCTGCAGATCCATGCGTAGACACAGATATCTTTATGCATATAGCCCCACGTCCTGTTTTGTGTTGAATCACTTAGGTGATGGATTTGAATGATGTTAACTAATCTGTACCCTGTGGTACAGTCAGTGAGTGGAAAATTTGCTCTATGTGAATGCATTTTTATGTTAGGATGCCTCCTCACTATCCTATAAGTTTGAGCCTTTCTCCTTTATTAGTTAATGTCAATAAAATCACAAGAGTGTTGAATAGTTAAATAGGTGATGCCTAAGCATGTGTGTGCTCTCGTGTAGTCTCTTGGGGCACACTGAGCAGTGGTTCCATCCAGTATTCCTCTTCAGACATGTAACCCCAAGATGGGAACGCCCGTGTTAACGAATAATGGAGCTAGCTTCCCTCATTGGAAGAAAGGAGAAAAGGCTGACTGTATTTAAATATAGTTAAGGCAATTTCAAGGTGCTGAAGAAAACATTTAAACTGAAATCTTTATGGTTCATTTGAAAAGAATGTTATGATGAAACATTAATATTTATCATGTATAAGGAAACAGCAAGAGAAAGATTCTGTGTCATAAGTAATTATTGAATTACCAAATGTGCTTTAAGAGTGCGGAAAACTTAATGAATGACTGGGAATTAAATGTGGATTTTGACAGTGCCATTATTATTATTTCAACCCTAATGTTCCACCTTCTCAAAAAAAAAAAAAAAAGAAAAGAAAAAACAAAACAAAACAGTAGCACTGCTACACAGCAGGTTTTGTTTTGTGACCATTTTTGCCTGATGTATTTGTTTATCTTAATGGCTATTTTAATTGTTTGGTGAACAAATCAAAATGATGATTGTTCACCCTTTCAAATTGTCTTACTATGTAAAATTTTTTAAAAGGTATCTGCCTGTTAGGCTGACTGAACAAACACCCTTTTCATATGTTAATGTATGCGAAGAAGGTTCCTTAGAAGGGACAATAATTATATATTTTCCAAACCAATTATCAGGTTAATTGGTTAAATGTAGAAATAACTGTACATAATGGTTGCACTTAGCTGACCATCACGTGAATTGGATATATTACCTCTACATGTGGTGCTCCACTCACCTAAGCAAAGTGGGAGAGAGTCTTGTCTGCTGAGAGTAGTGGCCATTTTAAGAAAACTCTGTTGAGGAGTCATGGTGAAAATTTATAGCCCCCTATGAGGTACATCTGTCTATTTGAAAAGTAGACATTTTGCTACCATGTTTTTTCTAGCTCCCGGCAAATTTGAGTATAACTCTTCTTAAAAGCACAGTAATTTTTTGTGAATGCAATTTTATCTGTGAAGGGTGATTTGTTTGGTGAAAACCTAAGACAAACTGTTGTTTTCTATTTGTTTGTGGATTTTGGTGCTGGGTACAGCACTGGGTACGTGGATGTGTGTGAGGGAGGAAAGGGAAGGGGAGGGCGAGGGCTGTGCAGAGGATGGGGGTGGAGGGAAACACCAGATTGTTTGCCAATAGCTTGGATGATGGTGTGAAAAAATATTATCTTCTGCTGTCATCTGTTTCCATGAGAACTTTAAAATAAAGTTTAAAATAAGGAGTTTTGCTTCTGTTTAAACAGCCTCTGCGAGGGAAAGGCCCTATAGACCTCATTACAGTTGATTCCTTAATAGAACTTCAGGATTCTCAGAACCCTTTTCAGTACTGGATAGTTAGTGTGATTGAAAATGTTGGAGGAAGATTACGCCTTCGCTATGTGGGATTGGAGGACACTGAATCCTATGACCAGTGGTTGTTTTACTTGGATTACAGACTTCGACCAGTTGGTTGGTGTCAAGAGAATAAATACAGAATGGACCCACCTTCAGGTAAGGGCCAAAGCTTTTGCTACTGTGAAGTATTTTAGGAAAAGTTGTAATATTTTCTGGGATGTGTCTCTGGAACGTTTATTAGATCTGTGCTATCTTTTACATCTGAGCATGTGAATTTTAAGTATGTCAACTTCAGAATGCTTTCTACGGGGAATAAAGTCCAAGACCTCAGTCGATAGCATTCACAAAGAAGAACGTGATGTTGGAAGCCCTAGGGAAGTTGATCTAGTTCCTTTGGAGTCGTGGTTCAGAAATGAAAGATGTAATAAATTGGGATTGAGCATGTGCCCCCCTCTCTTCTTCAAGGATTTTGTTGAGACTAAGTAGGTTCCCTAAATCCATCAATCTGTCCGTCCATCCTTCCATCCATTTATTCATCCATCCATCCATATCAACTTATCTATATATTCATACATATCCATCCATCCACCCTTCTACCCATCCACCCAGTTTGAGTAGCCAAACTACTTGCTTATCATTATATAATCCATTCCAACCAGGAAATAGCACTAAGAGGATCATCATGCTATTTTCCTGTCACATCATCAATTTTAGATAACTTTAAATGCAGTGTCAAGTGACATTGCATGGGCTTAATTGAATAGAATCGTGGATTATGCTTTATGACATTGCATGGGCTTAATTGAATAGAATCGTGGATTATACTTTCTGACATAACCATTCTTGAGTGTTCACTATGGGCCAGGAGATTTTGCATCTTCTGTGTTGTTTATTTTGGTTCCAAAAGAGTGTTGCATGTTTGGTGTCAGTTTCATAGCAGAGAAAATTGAGACCAGAGTTAAGTTAACTTGTCCAGGGTTGCTAGCTTATAGGGAGCAGGTTCTATGCTTATTCCAGTTCATGCTCTTGCTTACTCATACTGGTCTTCCCAACCTTTTGATGGGAAACCTCAGAATAAAAATGTTGGCTTCTTGTGCAATTAAAGATACCCAAGGAAGAAATATGTATTTCTGATCTTCCTTATGGTCAGTGTTACGTATTCCAAGCAACTATTATCCTCTAGCAGTTGCTGTGTTGCCTTGAAAACCCGAAGGCAAGGAGTTGTGTTTTACCTCTTCTGTCACTCAAGTGCTTTAACCAAAAGATTCCTGGTTCTGGACCCCTTGTGTTTGCCTCTGTGTTAAATCTGACAGGTGCGTAGACATGCCACCCAGTATTTTATTATATTTGTATTGTCCTCAGTTTTTGAGAAGCAGCCAAAAACGAGTTTTATATCCTGGGTAATTTTGGATGATGATGAAGGGCCTGTCCACATCATGAGTAAAGATGTGAGCTCAGGTTGCCTTGGGATTCACAGGCTGGGAGGAAAATCTCCTTTGTGGGGAAAGGCGTGTGTGTAAACCCCAGCTCAGGACCTAATTGCTTTATAAATTATAGAGGAAAGACGGCCTTGCTGTGTAACAATGTACAGCAAAGCAAAGAATTCCTGGTAGCTTCTGGTGTTCTGTCATGCTTTTTCCCTGTGAAATCCTGGAACTCATACTTACACAAGAATGGAAAGTGTCCTTGTAGAAAATTAGGAAATACTTGCTCCTAAGCTCTCCCTCTTTAGATAATTTCATGTCTTTAGGATATAAAACTAAATTTTGCTTACTTGTCTTAGAATTTTCTGGATACCAGTTGTCCATTTCACATTGTGCCGGGATCACGTGGGGCTCTACGCCTAAAAAAGATAGTCGTCATCAGATGCGGGTTTCCTCAACACGTAAATTGTCAACAAGAAAGCTTATCTATGGGGGAAAGAAAATAAGAGGTGAAAAGACACTCCAAATAGGACTTTAAGTTCCTCATGTACGGTAGTTACAAGATGAAAACTAGATTCTGTTGCTTCATTCAGCAAAATGACACCCCTGGGAAGAGAGACAATTATTACCTAGGTTTTACGCATGGGAACAGAACCTGATGCTTTGGATTTACGTCAATTAATTTCAGGTCCCATTGGGACTTGTGCAACTTACGTGTAGCACTATTTCCTTAACTGAAATATAGGTAGGATTAAAATTTGCAGATTTGCATAGGAAATATTAGAATAATTTTGTTACTCTCAAACACTGTTAAGCTTCCAGCATCAATGGGCATTTAGGATCAGAGTTGAAAGGGTGGTGGCAGTGGCAGGTGGGTGGCTCTTGGCCCTACTTGGAGGGCAGGCTGTGCCAGCTGATCCCTGCTCTAAGGGACCCTCATTCCCCCTCAGTACCACTGCTGCTGTTAAAAATAATCCTAACTCCCCCCCCCCCCGCCCCCCAGTTTCACTTTTTAAAGGGCACAATATTTCTTAACTGTTCAGTAGAGGTGGTAGAAACAGATAATGGGAAGTTATACTCTTCAGACTCTGTAGGAACAAGTACTAGATTTTATACACTGTGTCCACCTCTGAGGATATATACCATTGAGCCTTTCCTTATCTGGCCTGAATCAGGGGAAGTAGCATTCTGGTGCTTGGGACAGGAGATGGTTATTCATTTGCTGGGCTGCTGAATCGTATAAGGCACATCCAATGAGTGGCATTTTCTAGAAATACCTGTTGTGATCAGAGGCTTATGCTTTGGTTTCCCAGAAAGTTTTGGTAGGTCATTGAGGTCAGGGGTCCGTTAGGTGGCCCCCACCTCCTTTCTCTTTCTGAATGTTTAGAAAGCAAGATAAGAGTTTTAGATGTTCTTGCAGAAGCTAGAAATTTTCTCCGTATTTATTTTTTCCCAAGGCCTTCTCTAAACTTTCTTTAAAAAAATTTTTAAAATTCTTGCTTTAAATAGTTCCCAGAGTCAGGATGTTTCTGAGTATAACTTAAATGCTTTTTGCCTAAGTTGTTTCTTAGTCCAAAATGAGTTGTTGCTTTCACTATGGGTCTGTTGTTGCTGCCATAACAAAATATCACAGGCTCTGCACCTTAAACAGCAGATATTTCTTTTCTCATAGTTCTGCACGCTGTAAATCTAAGATCAGGTGCCAGTGGGGTCAGGCTGGTGAGAGCTCTCTTCCAGGCTTGCAGATGGCCAGGTGCTGGCTGGGTCCTCACATAGTAGATTGAGAGTGAGCTTTTTATTTGAGTGTCCCTTTTTATTAGGACACTGCATCTTGAGGGCCCTTTCCACATGACCTCCCCTAACCCTAAGCACCTTCCAAGGGCTCATTCTCCAAATACTGTCACATTGGGGATTAGGGTTTCTACATATAAAGATTTGGGGGTACAGATATTCAGTTTATAATATTTCCCAAAGGGCGCTTTCTCTTACCAACTGTATAGTGGTTGTTCCTTGCTGGCAGCACCTGGTAGAGGAGAAAGGAACAGAGGGGGTTTGGGGGTGGGCCCAGTCAAGATGCCCCCCCCCCCCAGGCCTCAGTTTATTTGTGGTTATTTATTTATTCATGGTTATGTTGTGCATTCCTGCTTTCTGCAGTGCTACTAGGAAACAACTTGCCAAACACTTGCACCAAAGGAGACCGCCCTGTTTTCCTGTAGGCTTTTAGTTACAGATGAGTGCGGACACATTTTAATTGCTTACAACTTCCCTACAAACAGAACTGGGATGCTGCACTCCATTAAATAACCTGCAGCATGATCATTTTAAGAAAATGTTTTATGTTCTTTTAATGGTGTTATTTATTGTCTATAAACTTGCTGGTGTAACCAGAGTGGCTCTATCTTGTGAAGCGTGCACAGGGACCGTAGTTCTCTGCTTCCTGCTTTTCCAAGGTGTCCGACTCTGCAGGTGTTGTGCAGACAGGCAGAATCGCAGCTGAGGGTCACCTTTGAGAGAGGAAGGATGCCTGGTTGTAGAGTTAGATTCCATTTCAGGACTTAATACCCTTAGAAGATGGAGAAGCATGAGCTGGTAGGACAGAGGCAGAGATCTTGGGAACTGCTTGGGGCTGCTTGTTCCATTTGTCTCTGCTGTGGAGGGAGAAAAGTGGCATCCCATGATGGAGGAGTCAGCTTTGAATGGGTGACTTGGCCAGCCAGGCCTCCAGTGCCAGTCTTGCAGACTGGCATTAGAGGGGCATGACAGTGCTGCCGGTGTCTGCCGCATCTCGGCACCAAGTTCTGGTAGCGTGGACCCAACCCAGGTCATAGTGGGTTTCCCTTTCTATTGGCCTTGTGTCTTTTTTTTTTTTTTTTTCCTAACCACTCTTCTGCCTTCTCTTGTCTCCAGGGCACCCTTCCCCACTCAGAGATCACAGTCAAGGGTATAACTGGTCAGGATTACAGAGCAAGAGAGTGAAGGGTGCTAATGTGGTAGACCGAACCTCTCCTTTTATTCATCCTCTGTGTTCTCAGACTTTCTTTGCTCTTGACTTTGGAAATTCCCCTTGTTTTTCATAACTGATCCTTTTTTCTACCACGTGTGGACTGAATTCCCCATCACCCTACTTGCAGATGGCAGGAAAAGTGAATTTGCCCTTGAGGAGGAGTTGCTGGTGTCTTGTGTGCTATTTCTCTCCTGACCCTCTTGGAATGGCTGAGCTGGTGTCCTTTGGCCTTTGCTTCCTGCAGCCCTCTGCATTGCCTCCCCTGCACCAAGGTTTTGATGCTGTGCCCCTGGTTTGAGACTCTCCTCCTCATCCTCAGGGAGCAATTTCAGAGCTCTGTGGACTGGTCCCTTGGCATACTCTGTGGGACTCTGTGAGAAGCCACAGTATCTCCCTCAGTGTCCCTCTCAGTAGTCGGGGGATGGTTCTTTTGGTCTCTGCACTCCAGTATTTGCTGAGGCTCTACTGTCTGTCTTTAAATATGTTGGATACTACTGAGAGGAGTCACATCTGTTTTTTGTTCTGACACAGAAATGCTGAATTGGGATTTTTTTTTTTTCTTTCTGCCAAAGGTGGAAGTCTTTAGGAAGTGCTAGAAAGGATTATGGACAGTGCACACAAGTAGGGGATTTTTTGTCCTAGAGCAGCACCCTTTGTGTGTCTCAGTGTAATGAACAATGGCAGGGGACAGGGTATTGATAACTTGTCTAGTTCTGTAATTATGCCCTGAAAAGACTAAATAAACTGCTCAAACAGAGAAGTTTAGAGCTCAAGGTGAGTCCAGAGGCTCTGAGGGTTCAAATATATGGCTCCATTGCTAAAAAGCAGACATGCAAGAAATTAAAAATATAGCCTGAAGGTTTAATGTTGCCTTTTAACTGTGCTTAAATTCATATTCGTATCCTAACTGTCTGTCTGGAGTAGCCGGGTTGATATAGTGAAGGTATAAACATATCTACTTCCAGTGAGTGCGCCTACAAATCCTGTTTTGATAAGGTCTTAAATCTGTTGAGATCAGGCCATGAAAATCCCCCTGCAGTTTCAGCAATAGGTAAAAACAGTGCTCAACAATTTTTTCCTTTTAATTTTGCATTCAGACTGTGTAACCTCTGTGCGTAAATCTTTCTCTCCCCCATTGCCTGGGGAAAAAATATGGGCAACATGTGGTGTGTTAGCAACATTTCAAGTGTAAATATGAAACTTGGTTGGTAAAGTTTAATTTACCTTTTAATAATTTTCTGACTTATAGGGACTATTTTTAGCATACGAGAGCTTAGAGATTTAGTGAAAAATATGTTGTAATAACTGCAAAAACCTGACAAGAGTTTAGAAAATAATCAGATAATAAGTTCTTCATCTGTTGTTAGTACATCTTTGGTGATATATGGAATTTGGGGGCCATGAATGATTAAAGGTTTGGATAATGTGATTAATGCTATTAAATTACTTACAAAATGCTCACAAAATGCGTACAACTGTTCCCCGAGGAAGAGCCCTATTGAGTTTATTCTTCATCTCTGATAGCAGAATCCTGAGTTGCTATTTAATTTTGGAAAATCCCTTTAGCAGGTGGCGGTTTGTGGCAGACTGAGGGTGCTGGGGCCTGATAAACTCAGGAAAGAGCCACCGGGCAGAACATTCCAGTCCTTAAACTCTTCTGTGGTTTGCTGTTGATACAGAAATCTATCCTTTGAAGATGACCTCTGAGTGGAAATGTGCTCTGGAAAAATCCCTTATTGTTGCTGCAGAGTTTCCTCTTCCAATGGAAGTGTTCAAGGTAAGCCGTGGGTTCTCAGCAGCTGAGCTCCTCCTTTTAAGTGCAAACTGTTGAAGGAGTGCTGTACGCTCAAACCCTTTCCCACTGTTAAAAGTGCAACCTTCTCGACCAGTTTGCATTTAGAATGTTTAAAATTGTGTGTTTCCTTTTGCTATTTTTAGGACAATCTTCTTAAATACCTATGTTATAAGATGCTGGTAAAATTGTTTAAGTTACTGTTTTTCTCTATAATGTACATCTCATTTTCATCTTCTCGCCCCTTACCAAAGAAACAAAAGGAAATGCAGCAAGATTAATTTTAGCATTTGTTTGGGAAAAACCATTGACAATGATGTTTCTCCAGATGGTACAATTTTCTTGAAGGCATGTGCAGAGAGCGAAGGACCTGGAACATCCCAACTGCAATGGATCACCAAGTTCTTAACCCTTTTTAAAAACTATGCTTAAAATTTACATGTTTCTGTCCTCTTTGGAGAGGACTGGGACAGGATGTTGGTCTTCTAGAGTGGGCCCAGGGAGACTCTCTGGGGTCTGACTATTCCCACACAGTTTCTCTGTTTTTATTTTATGAGCTTCTGTTAACTAGCCAACCTGGCTCCTGAGCCTTTGAGGATTCTGCAATATTAATTGGGCCAGCTCTCGGCTTTTCTGCTGAAGGCCTTGATTTGGTTTTGCTGAATATGTTAAATTAGTCCCTTCTTGGTCATCAGCTGTTTGGCTCTCCATACCTTTGTTGTTGCTGAGTTGGCTTGTGTATTTTTATTTTTTTTTTAAATATGTTATAGTTTGGGTTGGAGTATAGAAAGAGAGAAAATGGACTTGTTTTTTTTTTTTTTTTTGACACCCCAACCTGACACTGCCATATTTAAAACACTTGTCATTTGGACGGGGGCAAACTGGAGTTTCTACACCTCTCTCAGACCTACCAAGCCTGGCGTGGTTTCATGGTGCTTCCTCTGTAGTCTTGGGTCATGGAGTGTCTCTTCTGGTCAGGGGTACCAGGGGAACCAGGCTGCCTCCACTCTGGCATCTTGTTTGTTTGTTTGTTTTTAATGCTCTTCAAATGTTAAATTCTTACTCAGCTTTCTATCTCAAATACAAGTTTCCTAAAGAATTAAATTGTGTTACATGCCTGTAGGAATGTGACAGTGAAGCCCACCATTATGTACAATTGTAAGGTGCCAGTAGACAAAACAAATAAAAGAAAGAAATCCTTTCCAGGGCCTCTGGACCCTGATGAGCGTGAGCCTCCTCTTGGCCTCCTGTTCTGTTGTAATTGTGGTCAGTCATTCCTGTGATTCCTTGTGTAACACCCATCTTGCTTTCCCGTTGAAGTGCCAATAAGATAAGGACCATATCTGTTTTGTCCAGTGTTAAAAACATAATTCCTTGCCCATGATAGTACTTAATAAAGATTCATCAAATAAATGAACTCATTTTTGAATGGACATATGCATTAAAAAATTCTGAGTTAATGTTGTTATAGATTAATTGGATATGCAGTTATTTAAAAGTGTGAATACTAAGACTGCAAAGGTACAAGCATTAATAATCTTGATATATCTCTAATTAAAAATTAACTAATTTATTGAATATTTATGAAGCAGCTATTCTTTGCAAAAGGTGTTATGTGCTGTTGACCTAATCCTGGGGTTTAATAGTTTGTTCATATTTTCCAAAATACAGTTACCTTCTTCTTTCACCTATGAGAATTCACACAATTATTTTGATAAAGTACATGAAAATTATCATCTCATTCAATATTTGTTTATAATTAAGCATTGTCATTAAGAGTAGATATTGAGTATTACTTTTGGGCCTAGCCCACGGCAGGGTGTATGGTGTATGGTGTAGGCACTTTGTAAATGAAACTTGGTTGCATTAGATATTTTGTGGTCTTAAAGTTTGTGAGATACTTTTATAAATGATTTTTCTTATTTCAATTTGGAAGAGAAGTGGGCAGTGAATGTTTATATATTTAATTTGGAGGCCATGGGAATGACCGTTTATCCTAAGGCTGTTGTAGCAAATGATGGTGGACTGGGTGATGTGAAAAACAGGAGTTCACTCTCCCGTACTCTGGAGGCTGCAGTTGGGATCCAGGTGTTAGCTGGATGGGACTCAACCTGCAGGCCCCGAGACAGTCCCAGGAATCTGCCCTGGCTTCTGGTGGCTGCTGAACCCTTGGCATTCTTTGGCTGGTGGTAGCTTCACTCTGTGTGCTGCCTCCATTGTCACCTGGCCTTCTCTTCTCTGTGTTCCTGTCCAGATTTCCCTCCCCTTATCAGGACAGCAGTCCTTTAGCCCATGCTCATCCTGTGACCCTGTCTCCAAACACAGTCACATTCACAGGTTCCAGGTAGATGCAAACTCTTAGGGGACACTTTTAAGCCAGTTCCACTGCATTGCATCTATGCTCAATAATTTAAGAAATCAGATGCTAGTATTCTCTACTGGGTTCCTGTATTTATAAGAAGGTAATTCAGAGAAACTGCATGAAATGGTATCAAACTATGTTTGTAGTTGCTTCATTTATGAATAAACAAAAGAGAAATTCTCTCTCTTTTTACAAGTTCTAGCAAGTGGTATTCCTCTGTAGGGTCCCAAAATAGAGTACACGGACACACACACACACACATATATATATATATATATACACACACATATATATAATTTTATTTATTTATTTTTCTCTTTTATCATTGCTCATCAGTATTTCTGGACAGGGAGACAGACTTTTATTTCCTTCATTATGGTGGAAGGAATATACGTTTGAATTCAGCAGTGAATCATCTGAGATGCATTTGTTATGGAAAATTGCCATAGTGTTCAGCTCTTATGAGATAGAAGTCAAAGCTAAGCACATTTAATAGCTAGGAACGAGCAGTGTTTCCAAGCAATTCTTTTTATTATTTTTACACTTTAGATAAGACGGGTGCTTTGATGGAATGAATCTCATTACGCTGCATTTTCTGACACAGGGGCTGCGCTCACATGTGTGTATCCATGTTCACACGAAGTCAGATCAAATCGGTGGGCACCCTTCCCCTTCTACCTGAACACAAACAGAAATAGGGCAAAAACAAGCTCAGAGTTAGGATTTTTGCTGTTATTTACCTTTGATTGGAGAGAGCATTCCAAATACCTTTTGGACACTGCATTTTTCAGGGAGTTCTGACTCACTCAGAAAATGCAAATAATCTTTAAAGCATACACTTAATTGAAATTTAAATAGTTGATAAAATGGGTTAAAAAAGAAAAACCTCAGAGATGAGAACACCTGTTTTTAAAAAATAATAAATACTAAGTTCCCCCTAGGAATCAGCCTCATTATTTAGAGACCTAAAAGATTGCCAAAACCATTCTCTATAGTAGTACTAATTTACTCCTCATGAATAATAAGGAAATAGAGGCAACTCCTCTGTGCATTCCCGTGATCTCATTGGATTTTCACCTGGGCACAGATGGCTCATTGTCAGCTTTCAGAGCAAAGGAATCGGCCTCCAATGGCTCTGCTTCAGGAACCCAAGTGTGGACAGAACCTTTCCTCAACACGGTCACATCTACCTGTTCTTCAGCCTCAGCTGTCAGGTGATTAACCTGACTCATCAATGTCTGCTAAGGTGAAATGCCCCCGTTGCAGCAAGATCTTTTTATTTTCATCTTTTGTAAAGAGCTGCTAGGAGGTTTCTTTCAAGGATTGTTTCTGTCTTCAAACAATGAAGTTATTAAGGCCCAATTCAGCTTTTTGGTCAACAGGGTCTCTGTGGCCTCAGGGTCTCTGTGGTCTCTCACTGCCTACTAAGATACCACTGAGAGGTTCGAGGGAACTTAGTAAGTTTAAAACTAAAACCAAAGGGGAGGAGAGAGAATGTTGGTATTGATGCTGTGTGCTCCTTCTGTGCCCGGCACCCACGGGACTCAGTACATCCTGCTACTCTGTGCTCTCTGCTGTTCTTCTAAGTCGCAGTTTACCTCTGCTAAATCATTCAGGTTTCACTGAGAAACTCCCATATCCATCAAACAGGTCTACAAATCAAAAGTAGTACCTCGTTCCCCAGTTAACAGAAACCAAGTAGTTTTTCCTTAGAAGACTAGAAAAAAATACAGGAAGCAAAGGTTTTGTCACTAACGTCATTCATCACTGGGCCTCAGGATGGAAGGAAGGGCCAGCCTTGGGATGCCATTGAAATCCGTGATCCATTTTTATCCCTGGAAGAAGGGAAAGTTCTTGAAGCTTTATGTTCAAAGAGTGTTGAAGGTTTTAGAGGGTTTGAAATTCCAAATCAGCTATTTTGAGATCTGCGGTGGATGTCAGGAACTATAGATTAAGACCACTGAGGCTTGAGGTCAACACCCCTGGCACCCTCCTGGAAGTCCTCCTGGCCCTCCTGCTGGGAGGTCTCTATGCCTGCCCCACATTGATGACCCACCAGGACTTTCAGGATCCAGAGGTCACTTCCTCACAGTTATACTTTACTTCAGCACCAGATACACAGTAAATCCCTGAAGGGTGCAGGTGCATGGGGTGAACTCCAGAAAGCCAGGCCATCCTTCTGGAGTCCTATGGGGGGGGGAGGGTTGGAGGGGTGTTCTTGCAAGGGTCTGGTCACGTAGGCACCCTTTGCCTGGCACATTTCCTAAGTTCACAGCTCCCAGAAGGAAACCCAGTGTTTAGTATAATGTCTATTGTTTGCAGAAGCAGCTTAGGCACAGTGAGTCATTCTTGTGTTTAGGAAAAAATTCTATGTCCTTTTAGGGATAAAACTATCAGCCATATTCTCAGATGCCACCCAAGGACCAGTCTTCAGTCCTTCTGAAGGACAGAAGCCTTTGGCCCCCTCTTTTCCATCCATCAGCAAATGCTCTTGACTCTCCCTTCAAAGTGGCCCAAACCCACCCCCGTCTGCCTGGTCCCAGCTGCCACCTCTCTCCTGGGCTGTTATGTCAGAATTTACTTCCTGGATTCTGGTCAGTGCACCCTAGAGTCTGTTCTTGAC